GCTGCCACATCTTTGCTTTCCTGTAAACGGCAGCATTGCAGGGGTGATGAACAGATAAGCGGAATTTAGAGAGTAAAACAGATTTGTAAACAAAATGCTCTTTCCATTTTTTTGGGGTTGTCCAGGTTACCTTTGGGATCAAGAGATATTCGCTTGCATCCAAGACAGTTGTCAAAAAGAGCAAGCTTCACCATCAGTCTTTTTCAGATGATCAATTACTCGACGGCTTATTTGCACTGCGATCTCAGTATCTGCCTGAAGAATCACACACATTGCGAGCAGGTATGTTGCAGTGAAAGCAGAGCCATGACCTGCACGGAGAAGTCTCTTAAGTGGAACTTCTATGGCCACTCATTCTGTACAAAGGTTCACATAACTTACTTTCACTTTCATATTGCTAAGTGTACTGCAATACCTTCAGCTGTAACACCTCAGTCTGTCTAGTTTTCAAGCAATAAGCGTAAATCCTCAGTGTTAGCAGAAAACCTGACTCAATAGTATTAAATAAATGTACTAGGCTCCCAGTATAATTTATGATCACAATCTTTTTACAACATTGTTTTAAAAGAGCTAGACATCATTAAGTTACACTTTGAAGAAAGCAGGCACCCATCAATCTTGAAAGATTTTGAAGTGAAAAGATTGTTTCATTTAATCAAGTAGCCTGTCCTACATGGCTATTTATTCTATATTGTCTGCATCCCAATACAGCAATCCATTGCTTCAATAACATTCATTGTATGTACTGCAAACTTTGAGTTTTGTTTCTGTGAACTGTAAGGTTTTTCCTCTGGTTTACTAGTTTATTTGGCTGACCCTTTATCCAAAGCCAAAGCATCTTACTGTGCCTTTGCACCTATTTATGCAGCTGGAATTTTGTTAGAATTCTTGCTTCACTCTAAATTGCTAGAACAATTCAGTGTGAAGTCCTTCGCTGAAGAGTACATCCGCAGTGTCTGAAATGAGATTTGAACCCACAGCCTTTCAGAATCTTAAGGCACCGCACTATCCCTCTTCCGCTGTATGTCACCTTTATTTCCTGGATTGATTATCAGATGGAGAATTACAGTACTTCTGCTTGATACAGGTGGTATAGATTATTTAGACTTTTTTTTAAATGATCATTTCCAATATGCAAGCAAATTTGGAATTGCCAATTACTGTACAAGCTTTGGCTCATAGCTGCAAGGCCCCCGACTGAACATGGGGAGAATGAGCAGGTGCAGACACAGAATCCTCTTATCCGAACAAGCCATTCATCTGTTGATGTATCATTGGCTATACAGCCCCATGCAGGGGCCAATTGGAGGAGAAGAGACCCTTTCTCCAACAGCACCAGTTACCTGGCAATTCTCTGGGATGTCTGTACAGCACAAAAGCACTGTCTGAGCACTGTTGAGATTGAATGCAAATACAAGCAAAACATTGCAGAAGATCTTATTTAATTTCTCCAGGCTTCAGTGACTTATTTTGTCTCTCTTTGTACCTGCAGCAGTGTCTCCTGCACAGAAAGCTGTATGCTGGAAAGGAGGCAATGTTGAGGAGCTCTGGTAATCGAATATCTTTTGGTCCCATGCTGAAAAGAATGAATGATTCATCCAATGAGCATTTCATAGGTAAATATTTTTTTCTGTGTGAAACTGCATCTTATCTAATTTCTACCTCCCTATCTGCAACTAATACAAAAAGTGAGCCTAAATGTATGACGTGTTGCGTGTGTCAGGGAGTATTTAATCAAAATAGCAAAAAAGTAAATAAGAGCATTGTTTTGTCAAGTATTAAATAAACTTTTTATGTCTGTTCTGCAGATTCAACAGCGAGCAAAACAATCACTGTGCTTCTGGGATCAGTCTTTGGCTCCTTGCTTTTAACCTACATTCTTGTCTTGGTTTGGCTAGTCTACAGACAGAGAGCTAAAAAGCACTTTAGTTCAAGTCCTAACGGATTATGCAACCTCTTATATACTGACATCTGGGTCATACCGTGACAGTGAAGAACTTATTCTGCTGGTATACTGTGAAATAACAAAAGGTTGAACTTTTTTTTGTGTCTTCCATACTCTGTAATTGCTGTGATATTGCTTACTTTTATGTCGAACATTTTAGACGTGTTAAATCAGGATATTCAGGATATTTACAGTGTCTCTGTGTCTATACAAATGTGTGATAATTTGCAAGTTTTATTTCTGCTTTGGGTCCTTTGAGATAATAGAGTCTGTTTTGCATTTTAATTTCCTTTTCACTTATTTAATTTAACAGCTCATTGGCCTAATTTGACAAATTACTTTTTCCCCCCAATGTCTTTACCAGATGACTACTTTACTAGGAAGCTGTAAAACATAAGGAGCAGTAGAAAACTGTTCGGTTGCCACTCGACAGCGAACAAGTTCCTTTGCACAGACGCTGACATGAGTCATAAGAGAAGCCAAAGAGCGAAGGTTCCAGTATCTCACACCAACATTAACCTTTAATTGTACCCTAGTTCTAAGCCGCAGACAGTGCCATTTAAATTCTGCATTTCAGGAATACCCACAGCATAAATGTATTACATGGCAAAATGTCCAGGGCAAAAACAAAAAATCCATGATGCATAAAACAAGCCTTAATAAAGAGGAAAAGAAAAACTTTTCTCCTAAACTTAAATTGACTGCAGGCAAAAATATTACTTGAAAGCTTGTGAAATTCATTCACAGTGTAGTACTTTTCTTAAAAAAAAAACTTTCCTTTTTTTACCTGGCTTCTCTTTCTGCTTTTATTTATACTCATATTTAGTTTCTAAGATTTTTTGTAGGTTCACAGATACATTATTTAAAAAAAAAGTGAGACCTCTATTTTAAACATTTAGGATCTTATATATGCATTGCTTCCTCTTGGAGCTCACTGTTTTGAACGCAGTATGTGAAATATTTAAATAAAAATATTCAGAAGGTAATTGATAGGAACACAATATGAACTGCAAAACAAGACTTGGTAAACAGCCAAACAGGCCTGTGAGGAAGACCTTTTCACAGAATCAGTAGAAGAATACTGCTTAGGGAAGGTAATTAAATTTGTGTCAATGGTAAATTGCTGGGAAGCATTATGGAAACATAAATAAATGCTTAAACAGCTGGTGTGTCTCCCCCCCACCTCAATTTCAATAATAAGACCTAGCGTCTGCCAAAGAATAACACGACCAACTTCAATTTAAAATTAAATCCGACACTGCAATAAATGTAGCTCTTGAAACCATTTTATCATAACCAGTCATGTTAAGATCCACTCGTCTCACACAGACCATTCACACCTAGTGTATGTGTCAGCTGAAGGCTTTCATTTAAAGTACAGCTAACCAAATGCTACTTTGAATCTTTATCCATCCCAGGATTCCAGCTTCTGGACATTGTTTTGTTTTTTAACAGTGTTTAACAACAGACATGTACTGTACGATAGTTCCTAAAGCAAACTCAGAAATATCTTTCTCATCCCTCGCTCCACTCTGTGGTGTCATGATTACCTGACAGTTTTGCCCTCCCTTTGCGGAGTGGAGTTCAGTCAACAAACCAACCACTGAGGTGGAAGAGCATGAGCAACTGGCCTGGAAAACTATAAAATACGTCACCAGAATTGAACCGTCTACGTCGCCCGCATGAGCAGTGTGCTGAAAGTCAGGTCCCCCAAAAAAGTAAAAACAGCCGCCAATAGAATATATGATTTACACCTGTATTTTGAGTACAATTGGTAATATTTTAAACCCACCTTCTCGATAAACTTAAAATATGTGGTTGGCGCACATACTAAGGGACAAAATACAATTCTTAAGATACATGTAAGAAAGCAAGCTAATAAAAATCATGCTGTCTCATGAGGAGGCTGTAATTACCAATGGAACACTTGCTTCAAGCAAACATTTCCTGTGCCTGCAGTTCTACTTGCTTAATGAGTCTGTAGGGAGCACAGGCACTTCCTACACATATCAGAGAAGCATCAAGGTCTTCCAATTCCCACGTCTTCAGGGGACGGTAGATGAAATGTTGAGCTGCAGCGCCAGTATTTTGTTTCACAGTCATCTACAAGATCGGCTCCAAGCACCTTGTTTACCGTTTCTCCCTGATGACTGATGCTTCTAGTAAGTAACAGGCAACACAAAAAAGGTGTGTTTGCTGTGTATGGTATTTCATTTTCAGACATATACTGTCAGCTTTGTTTACCTCTTTGCATTCATATATGCTTCTCTAACAACAAATATAGCCAAAGTTGAGAAACAGTTTGTGTCAGGTCTATATGGAGTATGGTGAGGGCTGAATTAATGACTCAGATAAACCTTTTATTTAAATGGCACATATCCACTGAGAAGACACTGATCTACACTGAGGTTCTGACCAAGATGTTCATTCCAGTAGTCCACACATACAAGGCTAACATCCTCAGAAAATGTAGAAGATCTTATCACTGACTATTCCACTGCTGACCCCATAAGGCAAAATCAAACAGTGACTGGACCGAAAAGCTCCTTTAACTTTGCGTAGGTGTCTCATACGGACAAGCAATAGCATTCATTTTATTTTCACCACACACCATAGTGATGGCATTTTAACATTGTTGATAAAGACTTTTTCTGATTAGAACATAGTTACGTTTTGGTATTATCAGATGCAAAAAATAAAATGGTGTCTCAACCGGAAAGGTTAGTTAGTGTCATGAATGATTAAATTAGGTTATATGTAAATAAAAACTGAAAACATACAAAGTGGTAGGTAATTTGAACTCGCCTTATATTGTGTAAATAATAAGACATTTCAAAGGAATGTGAAAATAGGCTAGAAAAGGTGCAAAACAGGTTTGTCAAGGACACTCTTCACTTTCATGTTAACAATCTTGTCTGAACAAGGATGAGTGACATAGTTTTATGGTCGTAATGCCTCAACTCCACCTACTTCAGATGTAGGTGGATTCAAAAAAATTCTCTGCTCCCTCAAGATTCTCAGTCAAGGAAGTACACATGAAAAATATATGATTCTGCAGCATTTTGAAGCTGGCTCCTGTCTGAGGATCTGAGTTCACAAGGATTTTCTCATGGAGCAGAGTTCAGAGGAGACAAAGTACTTCAGCAAAGATGACTTTGAAGCCGACTGGGTCAAGATCGCAAGTAGGAATTTTAGCCAGGTTTTCAAAGTGAAAGTCAAGGTTTGGAGAGAAACATTTGCCATAAAATGTTTTCCCAATATGTCCTCGGACACCAGTCTCTACAGGTATTGGAAAAAATTAAAGCATACCATAATTCTTGGACATCTGTAGTATCATTCTGTTTGGTTACATTTAATAATTAAAATTCTTGAATTTAAAATTTCTATTATTTTTTAAGAACAGGAGTGCACAGTGTATACTATATAGCACACACATGTACTGTATCCATACTTTGTTTTGGTTAGCTGCAGTTGTTAAAACTGTATTTTCCAAACTTGATTGTATATACTTGCACTTGATTTTTGACCGGTAACCCAAGAGTCTAAATTTGTACTCTGTACAAGAAAGCAATGCAAACTTTGGTGGATTATATGTCATTGTAATATTTAACAACGGGCCTCGAAACACAACTTGTAAGCATGTGAAATGTTGCCTTTAGGCAGATGATGAAGGAGGCTTCCAAGATGGAGAAAATGAAGTTCAGCTATATTGTGTCTGTCTATGGCATCTGCAATGACCCCATGGCGATAGTGATGGAATACATGAGCAACGGATCGATGGACAGTTTGCTCACGAGTCACTTGCTGATGTGGCCCAAAAAGTTTCAAATGATTCACGAGGTGACCATGGGTATGAACTTCCTTCACAGTGTCAAGCCACCCTTGCTTCATCTCAATTTAAAGCCGGCAAACATCCTTTTAGATGATCACCTACACGTTAAGGTAAGGATGCGATTCACAGCCAGGTGGAGCATGCTTAGTCACTGTTTCACTGCAGTTCAGTAATGGCTGGTCATTCCTCCTTGTTGTGGAACAATGTCAATGTTAGATGAGGTAGAAAGGTTGTTTTATAACACTTTGTATACCCCAGCAGAGGTACAGTGCTTCAAAATTATTTTGAAAGATTTAAGTGAAGGCATGAGGATTCAATGAAGGATGTTCCAACATAACCACAATCGACCAAGGCCAAGCAGAGCCTTTAGGTCAATAACTGTAAGTGCAGTTTTATCTGGCGATTCCTGGAGACACACTTTAATATTGCTGTTTCACTGGATGTTAATTAAGACTCACTTAATTAACCTTTGTTTTTTTGCTTAGTGTTTTTTTTTGTTTTGTGAAAATTCTCAAAACCTCTTAAATAAAATAGTTCACGGGTTTGTGTGACAGGAAAGCGAATATTTAGAGAGAGGGGGAAAGCAAACTGAACTTCAGAGTCGATTCATTCAGCTTTGTCTTTCTGCCGCATTTTTGGCAAAATAGTTAACTACTGTACATCAATGACAACATATGGGTTTTGGAGAATTGAAGATTTGATGCAACAAAGAAATAGCTTAGTGTATCTTATGTGTCTGGGTGACAGATCTCGGATTTTGGATTGGTCAGATGGGAGGAGACTTCAAGCAGGACAGAGTTTATAGAGCAAGCCGCAGCAAGGGGAAATATCAGCTACATCCCTCCTGAAATGTTCCTTGAAAGTGCCAAGTCACCAGGGACCAAGTACGATGTTTACAGGTAAGAGATGTGGCACTGTTATACATCAGTAAGTCAGATGATTGTACTTATAGGAGATTGTAGAATGATATTCATGGAAAATACTCCTTCAGAGTCACAGCTCACATCTAACAACAAGTTTGATTAAATGTGAACTGTGATTACACATGATTACATAGCCATGTTATTGTGTCAGTTAATTTATGGCCAGTTAACTCTCCTCATAATTTCCTACTGACTTTGTATTGACCTGTACCATTTTATTCAAGAAGCCTGTTCTTAAATCACCTTCAATACATATTAATACCTGTTATACTATTTAATTAATCAAAGATGGTTAATGGACAACAAATTTCAGCTGCTGAATCCATAATTAGGTGAGGGATTTGATATTCTCTTCTTTATAATATTACATCCTAATTTTAGGTGTAAACTGAAAACAGAGTTTTAAATATTTCTGTAAATATTTTTAAATATACATTAAGTGTACAGTCACTGGGGAAGTTTTATTTTTTAACAACGACAATTTGTGTTATTTTTACAGTTTTGCCATTGTGACATGGGAGATAATAGCTCAGGTTAAGCCTTATCCAGGTAGTGTAAAGATGTGTTTTCCTTTGTCATGCTCTCAAGTGTATCCATTTGTATAGGAAAATAATAAAAGGGATAACTGTAAACAAGATTTTATTTTTAGTGTTTTAATTTCACAGTTTTGAGGTGTTTTGAGGATGGGGAGTTCAATGTAAAAAGACTGAATTGAATTCTTATTTAATCTTTTCTGGGCCTTTCATGCTCCTGTCCCATAAAATCAACTTCACTGCAGGTACTGATTATATTGTCACAATCATATGGAAGCAAGACTGAAATTAGCCAAAGAACAGTGCTCAACAAACAGCACTAAGAGGCTTTTCAGGGAAAATAAAAATAGAATTTGAATATATTCTATGTAATTCTATAAAAATAGCGTCAACATTGTCTTCTTTTAGAGTTTGGCATAGATGGAAGCCCCTTCAGTATCAAAAACCCCAATATCTTTGGGCTGTGGTTGTGTCCCATTGAAGATGAATTTCTGATTCACGTTTGTCTTGAGATAGGAACCAACCGCATGGCAGTCATAATGAGAGTGGCATCAGGCAAAAGGCCGAGTCTCGAGAAAATCCCAGAGGACAGACCCGACCAGTGTAACCAGCTGATAGACTTAATGGAAAGGTGCTGGAACCAGGATCTGCGGCAAAGGCCGTGCTTTTCAGGTAAAAATAAAAAGCCTAAACCCTCAACTTGACCTCTGAAAGGGGTCGTCCGTTACATCCATCAGATGCTTTCAGAGAGCACTATGACTACTTCCTAGGGACAATTATTTTCACAGACTGTCTTTGTGTTCTATCTGATCTGCCTTGTGTTTTCATATCTATGTTTGTTTTACTTCATGAACATTTTAAAAGATCCCTACAAAACACCAGATTGCTTGTCACCCCACCAATGCCACAAAAGAAGACAAGGACTATAGCCTAGGAGGAACCACTCTTAATCTGAATCATTGATAAGAATGTTTAGCTTTATCAGCATAACCTTCACTGCATTCGTAGACAAGTGCAAATTAGAAAGCCGGTTTTTGGCTATGGGGCTGGATGAAAAGGACAGATTAAAGAAAGATGTTTCTGAGTAGGGAGATACACCTAACATCCTCCCACCCTGGGGCAAGGTCAAAAATGTGTGTGCTATATTCCAGTTAAAGTGATTATGAAACAATGACTATATAACTATATGATATTTTAGTTTAATTTGAAATTGATCTAAATCATTCATTCATACATTTTTTGCATTCATTTACTGTGGGAGGAAGATTTATGTATTACATTGTTTTACACCAATTATGTATTTTATAATAATGCAAATTATAAATGGATTTGTGGTTTATTATTTAATGTTTCAGAATTTAAGAACAATCTGATTTAAAAAAAGATGAATTTATTAGGTAATTAGATAATATTTTATATAATAACATTCAAATGTATATGCAAAAGTAAGGTCTTTTTATGAGCTTATAGAAAATCAGAAATTAGCTTTGTGATCTCCCTTAAAATTTAGGAACATGGTTAACATGGTTTTAATATGGTTAAAATTAAGATTTTAGTTTTAAATTTAGTTGAAATTCCTTTTCTCTAGAAATTGTAACAGAGACAGAAGAGCTCAGGGAGATTTTGAAGATACCAGACCTGCGACGAGGTTCTGATGAAAAGTCAAGATCAAGTCAACCTGTGTATTCTAAAATGTCTACAAACTTGAAAGAAGTAAGTAAACACAGCTACAGTATAATGCCATCAAGCGTACTTTCTGTGAGCAAGTGTAGAAGAGAGTTGGACTCTCTGCTTCAACTTTGGGAGCTTTATTTAGATGACAAGGCCCCTGTAGGATATGTGAGATGTTTGGGACAGCTGGACCTTGTTCTTTTCCTAACATTTCTGGTAACAAAACAGACTGTTCTAGCTAGTCTTTCAAGCGCATAAAGAGCACCAAGAGAAGCCCGAGTTTTAGAACTGAGGGAATGAGAGAGCCCTGGTGTCTCCTTGCTCATCTTTCAAGAAGGCCTTTCATAATAAACTCATTTCAAAATCTTTCCTGCACTATGAAGTGAATTTTTGCATCCCTACACTGGTGATTAACGGAGATAGTTAACATGGAACTATGACAAGATTGAGGCCACAATCCCTCTAATTAACTACAGTGTTTTCTTTTAGGCAATTTTGAAAACACAAGCCCCAGTGCAATTAACAGGCCATTTCTGGGGGGAAAAAGGTGTCCTGGATTCATTTTTTCCAATATGCATGATCTGAAAATGCAGAGCTCAATAACTGGGACTTTTCAAGCAGGAACTTGACTTTTGGGACAAATGTACCAAAGATTTTGCACCAATTTAATTTACACTCATTACAAATCATAAAAAACACAGACATCTGGACCAAAATAGATTCCCTGGTTTCTTACTAAACCGAAGAACAGAAAAAGAAAGCTAAAAAGCACATGATAAAACGGGTGATCATTAAAGTTTATAGTAGTTCAGGTGGGGAGCTGTGTCAGCAGGCGTAGTCTGCAAAGGAACAAGTAATAGTTTTATTCCATGCTGAGTACAGAAGAAAGAAAACACAACGTTTCGGCTGTGGAGCCTTTTTCACTTGTTGCATTGAAGTTAATATACTAGTTTCAAATGATTAAATCTGACAAAGAATTTCTAAAAGTGGTGTCATCAGAAGACGTGATGAAGGTGTAGATATAGACATAGATATAATAAATGGCTTTTTATAAAGTAGATTTCACTCCATACATTTTTTAGATAAACTTCCTAAAGAAATACCATAACAAGATTTTCATAACAAGAAAATAATTACCAATTATTGTAACTACTTGCCACATTTGTCAAAATCTCTCCCAATGTCAGTTGGAAAGGTTTTACCCTTTGTTCTAGGCATCTTATTTTTTTGATATATCTCTTTTTGAAAGGTTGAGGTGATCGACATGAAGCCAAGATTCAAAGACACAGGTCAGATACATTTTTTAAATACGTTTGTGTTTACTTAGTGCATACAGTATATAACTCAGTGTACTACAACAGATGAAAACACAAAAAGAGAACTCCTTACAAAATGAAGTTTGTAACCTGCAATAGCTATTTACCGCAGTTACAATGTTAAATATAAAATAAGATATACTGTATGTGGTCAAAATGAAAACAAAAAGGTTTGTTTCCTTATACAGTAAGTGCGACACTAATGCCCTGTAAACACAAAAAACACATAGTTTTAGTTGATATTTTCATTTACTCCACAGATGAAATAAATTCATGCAAAGATATTATTGGTCTGCTGTCAAGAAGAGAGTTCATGGATTTTAAGAAAATGCTTAACAAGGAACATGTGTCTATGGTATTTGAAGACGGCAACTCTCTCCTTCATTACGCTGTTGCCATGGGAGACCTTGAGACAGTGAAGCTAGTCCTGCATTTTGGTGCTACTGTGAACTCCCAGAGTATCAAGGGGTACACTCCACTGATCATAGCCGTGATCTATAAATTTCTGGACATTTGCTCCTTGCTTCTCGAGCACGGTGCGGATGTAAACTTGGCCGACAAGGATCAATGGACTCCTCTCCATTTTGCCGTGCAAAGCGGTGAGGACAGAATCACACGTCTGCTTCTAGACAGTTATGCGCAAGTCAATGCCAGGGAGCGAGACGGGTGGACGCCTCTTCACCTGGCATCTCAAAACGGGTACGAAAGCATGGTCCGTACCCTGTTAACACGGAAAGTCACCGTTGACCAACAGGAGAACAGTGGTCGAACGGCGCTTCACATCAGCTGCGCTTATGGGCACGTCAACATTGCCAAGCTCCTGATCGGGCATCAGGCAGACTTGAATGAGAGGGACAATGGTAACTGTACACCACTACACCTTGCCTCTGATGAAGGGCATTTCAGGGTGACGAGGCTCTTGATAAAAAGTGGGGCAGATGTTAACATTGTGGATCAAAACCGATCTACTGCTTTACATTTGGCTGCCCTGAAGGGACACAATGGGTCTTGCAGGCAACTACTTGCGCAGGGAGCGATTCCAGACCTGCAGACTTCCCAAGGGTGGACACCTCTGCACCTTGCATCCCTGAAAGGACATCCCACTACGGTACAGATCCTGGTGGAGCACCACGCCACTGTCAACCTCCAGGGAGAGAACGGGCAGACCCCTCTTCACATTGCCTGTCACTATGGCCAGGATGACGTGGTCTCTGAGCTGCTGAGAGCAGAGGCTGACCCAAATATCGCTGAGGATTCAGGATGGACGCCCCTCCATGTGGCCTGCCACAGGGGGAACCTCTCATGCGTGCAGCAGCTAATATCACATCAGGTGAACATCAACGCCCAGAACAATTCCGACAGGACTCCTTTGCACCTGGCAGTCCTCAGTGGGAGCACCTCCACAGTCAGAGAGCTACTCATGAGCGGTGCTGACCAGACCACAAAGGATGCTACCGGTTGCACTGCTTTGCGGTTAGCAATAGATAACCTCAAAGAAGACATTGCAGAGCTGCTTCTTCGCAAGGAGAATTGAATGTCTTCACTAAAAACTCACAAAAATGAGAGGATAACACAGCTGTTTTACTTATTGATATTCATGTGATCCTGCCTTGTGTCCATTACTTACCGGAATAGGCTCTGGCTGGTTCCCCCCCTCGATTTTCCAATAAAAACCTTTTTTTTTCAGTGCAAATAAATGCTTTATTTAAGTTTGCAGTACAATTTCATTTTTAAGTGTTTTTGTTTGCTCATTGTATTTTCAAATGATTATATAAAAATAAAATAAAATGATGATGCACAAACTACTATGTATTGAATGGAATATAGTAACCTTATTTGGCAAACACATCCGATGAAAGTAGGCATTTCAAAAAAAATATTTTTAATATCTTTCTATATTATCTTTTAAATTTTTGTAATATAATTTTAGTATAGGCAGTTTCCCTTTTTAATTTGCCATTAGACCTTATTATGTCAAATTTAAATACTAAGAGGAAGTAATCTCATAAATATTGCTTTCTGGGTTCTGCTCGGTATGAGCCAAAATAGTGATAAATCACTAGAAAAGAATGTTTGATTCTTCCATTATGTTCGCAGCTTGTTGTTAACATATATTATCTTTAAAGATGAAGTCATGTCAGACTACATTCTTGGCTTCTTTCTGTTAAAATTCCTCCTTCCCAACTCGTCAGAACCAAGTTTTAAAATATGTAATTCACCCTCTGTCAGTTTTTCTTAACACACAAAGGTGTGTGCCATCTTCTTTTTTTTTTGGTGTTTCAGGAAAAACGAGTTCCTGTCAGACAGTCCTCCATCACAGGAGTCTAAGACATTTACACTGACAATCTCACTTTGTAGACTGAATCTCTGAGGGATTCTGTAGTGTTAAGATGAATGCTTATGCACTTCTCTGAGGGTGGAGTGAGTAAAGGAGTGCATTCAGTAGAAACATTATTGATGTACGTAATATACTGGATACTGCATGAGACACACATCTGTTGCTGTTTGCTTAAAAGTCTAGAGTTGTCAATCACTCTGTAGGGTATATCTTAAGAGACAAATTGTATGAGACATCTTTCACCCTGTTTTAGCTGAATTCTGTTGTAGAGGACCATTTTAACTGTGCAATTGAATTATGACAGGATTTATGATGTTAAATGTTGATGTGCAAAACCGCAAACGTTAGGTGGCTGTAACCATTTTTTTTTTCATATGTTGTAGCTTGAACAGCAGATTCTTTTTCGTATTCCTGCTTCTTTAACAGAACCAGGAAGGTTGTCTTTTAAAACCCCTGTCCTAGAGAATTATGGGGTTCGATGATGTCCAGGAAGGAGACACTATTCTGACTTCTCTGCCATGGGAAATGAAACAAATAAGAAAGAAAGTTAGGGAGAATACAGAACACATTCTGTGTCAGTCTGTTTTGCATCTTGCAGAGGCCAAGACTGAGTATCAGACCAAATAGGATAATGATCTTGGTCTTACTATGTTTCGCCTGTTCAAACGTTAAGCTGCCTTCATGTAAAAAAATAACTTATTTAAAATCCTGGAAGGTTCACAGATACAGTATCAAAATCCTGAAGGGCATTTTGAAACCCCATCAACACTCTCTGCTCATCACAACTGGGCATCACCACAGTAGTACACCTTCCTACTCACATCACACATGAAATGCCAATAGAAAGCATTATATACAATAAATTCAGGGTACACAAAACTTATTCAAAAGAGATCTTTTTTCAGATGCACCTGTATCACCTGCAGATGCTCACAGATAAGATCACTTTATTGCCCATATACAATTTCTTGCATGAAGAATTGGTCTTTTCGCATACCCCAGCTTGCTCTCCATGAGACACACAGGTGGGGAGAGAGAAGCTTCAGAACTTCAGTTCGGAGCGCAGGGTCAGCCATTTCTATGGCACCCCTGGAGCAGTTGGGATGAAGGGCCTTGCTCGGAGGCCCAATGGAGTTGAATTCCTCTGCTGGCCACGGGATTTGAACTGACAACCTTCCAGCCAGATCTTGGGGCAGATCCTTCGCCACAGTGCCATACCTACTGGTTTTGCATAGGTTTCGGCTCACTAAATTCCATCCATTTTGATACTTATCTAATGCCAACATTCATGATATTTCTCAGAGAATGGAATCACTGAATGGAATCTGTGTTATTATCTTCCTGGACCTCTGGTCTGTCTACAGGTGATTGACAATAGAAAAGGAAAGCAAACAGAAAGGTATTTTCACGTCTCATGTTGAACTTTATCAGTAGAGAAGTAAATTCCTTTTGACTTAAAAATGTGGCTTCCACATTCCAAAGAGTAATGGGGCTAGTTCTCAGAAACCAGAAAGGCATGCATTTCTTTGTTTTGATAATATAGTTGTTTATTCACCTGATGGGAAACAGCTCTTGGAAGCACCTAGAAGGATGTGTCAAAAGATTTAAAAGACTGGCAAAGAGAGTCTGGAAGCTCTCTCCATTTGAACAGAATTTTTTTTTTTTAAACTGGGGAAAGCACTCAAACACGTGGAACAGCATTACATTTAAAAAAAAATTTAACAGGAAAATGGCATAACATTTGGCAGGCTACATTATAAACCACCTTTTTAAGTAAAGTCTCTTTAGTGTGCTTTTGGTTCAAACTACAGTACAGTGTCTGCAATAAGTCTTCAGTATTTGAGGTTAGCAGTAATCTAGTGCATTGCAGGCTTGTTGACTGGAATGATGGTAGGCGAAATGATAGCCAAAGCGAAGAGGGAGTCTGGGAAGATTTTATTTGCTCCATGTACTGTACAGAACATGTGCTTCACAGCAGTCTTGCTCTTGGGTTAGATGGTTGTTTGCTGGTTATAAGAAATTTAGCAGGACGACACATTAGATAGTCAACAATTGAGAAAACTCTACTTGATTTAAAACTCTGCCTAAGGACACTGAGACAGTCAAGAAGAGATCAAAGATTTGATGTAAATAATATGAGGCATTAGACAGATATGCAGTTACCTCCTGCTGTAAATATTTTCAATCTCTGCTAGAACTTTGCTGCTTTCTTTCCCAATATATGACAGTAGAAGAAAAATAAACCTGTATCATTCAAGCTAGTTTTGCTTCTTATATCCAAAATAACCCTTTTCAACTCTTAAATGTGTTTTCATTAGTGGGATAATGTTGTGTGACTGGGTCCATGTTCATATTACCCTATGCATTAATGTATTGTATATTATACCTCAATTTACTGAAAGATTGTTTAATTTAATTAAATTTGATTTCAACAAAAATTTAAGAAATCATCAGTCATTCAGCACAAGTAAATATGAAACTGTAAGAGAAGCCAGTACATTTTTCTAGTTGAAAAGTGAACCAGAC